CCGTATGAGTGAAAAATTCTCGAGGTTTTAAAAACAACAGACAAACAAACTTATCATTACATTATTCTGTGCATTTACAAGCACTCTTCGCCATTAATGTATAGAAAGATATGAAATAATAAAATCAATTTCCTTTTATTTTTGCTTGTCAAGTTTTTTTTTCCAGGTCTACGCGTATAAGTTGATTTTTTTTTCTGGTTGCCCCCTTTCAAAAGCAATGCTACGTCACTGGGCCGGACGTCTTTGTGTGTGTTTGTATGTGGGAGATATCTGGTCTATTGGTCTGGGAATTGTAACTCCCCATTGACCCAGCCAAGTCTGTGTTCTCTAGGAATGTAAATTAAAAACTTCGTAGGCAGTAGGCACAACAATACAGAAATTCCTTTAGAAGCAAAAAATAAATAAATAAATAAATAAATAATAATAATAACAATTAATGATTAAATATAAATAAATAAATAAACGTCCTTAGACTTTTTTGAAGGGGCGGGGGCGGGGGGGGGGGGGGGCACAGCTCCGTAAAAAGCCTTTTTAAATTCAATAACTATCCCCCCCCCCCCTGGAGTTTCTGCGAAAGCTACTCAACATGAGTATATGCTCCCAAGATCACCAGTTAGATATCAATATTTTACTCTCACTTAATTATTACGTTTTACATATTTTTCTTATTGATAAACACAAACAGTTCAATAGAACGATTTAGGTTGCACTTTTCAATGAGGGTAGAAATTCATGTATGTCACCGTTGTAACGCGAGATAACTCCTGTCCGCCAACCTGCAAACGGTACCAGATAGCCTCAACCCTTTAATCACGCGTCGGACTTCAATATTATTGTCCTGTTTTCATTTTTTAACTAATGACAAATGTTTAATTTTATTTGCTGTGTCTCTTATATACTTTGGAGATAAATTTTGAAAGATTTTAATAAAGACTCAAAGTCTGCTCCGTTTTGTTTTCTGTAGTGCTCATTATAAAATTAATTCACAATGCTAATAAGACTATATTGACAAAGCTATTTTTTTCGTTTTCTCTTAATTTTTGTCTGAAACTTTAAACTGTTTTACCCCTTTTATCTAAAAGTAGCAGTATGTAATTTATTTCATAGTTGTTTTTCACAGGATGGAAAAATATATGCATAAAAAATATATGATAAGTCATCTTTATTAATTTTACATAGATGAAAACATTTAATATAAATGATAATATCTAGATTTTATCAGTCATAGAACTTCGTGGACAAGGACATTGTCAACTGGTGACTCTTTCAGCTTATGCCATTGACCTCCATTTAATAAGATTTAGAAATGACGAACAGTGACCGAGCTCAAAATTTCATTGGTAAAATACAAATTTGAAACAGGGTGAATGCTGCACTTCTAAAAAGAGGTTGAATTAGTTGCCATGGAAGTGCAAGCATCTCTTGTCGACTGGTCACAAATGCCATGTGCTCCTTTTCATGATCGAGAAGATGATAAAATCGGTGTGAAAATGGCTCAACAATTTGTAGGAAAAACGTCAGTCAATGTTCGACTTAACGATAGATTGTATTTGCTGACAAGGTCATTGTATCGACCATAGAATTTGCGAAATGTTGACTTTAAACGAGGCTGTTGATATCAACTTATTAGTCAATAGCTTGAATCGTTTTAGAAATTCTTAGTACGTTGGTATCGAAGCAACTGGAAGACATTTTTCAAATGAGTAAATGCATGTATTTATTCATTTTTTGAAAATTTGCAAATGTAATTACATAATTCATAGAAAATTCGTCAGCATGATGCCACATATCGGATGTAAAGGTCACAGTCCTTATTCTAAGCGGTCTTTGTAAGGACATGATATATTGTGGCAAAAAATGAAGTCCACGACTATTTATATATCTTATGAATAATAACCTTTAAACAGTGAGAATTGCAGTTATTCTGCAAAACTTTGTTTATATTCTAATGTGATTAATTCATTCATTTCTCGTATAAAGCCTATATTTTTAAGTTAAATTTGGAACTTTTATTGCAAAACGGTACCATTAATTACTTTCAAATCACTTTTGTGATCCATGGCAATTATTTCCATAAATTTTCTTTTCAGGTGTGATATAAATACCAAGACGTTTAAGAAATTTAAGATTTGTCGTTCCATCAATCCCTTATATGTTTGCTTTAACACTTATTATTCGATTTTCCAAATCCAATTTAGATGCATACAAATCGGCATACCTGAAAGGGCAAATTTTGACAGAAATAACCTTTTCATTTGATAATATCATACATAATAAAAGTCATTTTTCCAAGTGAGATCTATTTTTCTGATCATAGGATCGATGAACTTTTAAAATGTACTCCTTCAAATATTTTCAGTTTTTCTTACGAATTCTATTATAATGTATTTTTTTTGTCCCCTGCTTTCACTGAAAGTGAGAGATATTAATTTCGGTCTGTTTGTCCGTCTGTACGTGTCTGTATTTTTGTCTGTCTGTAACACTTTCTTTTCCGCGCGATATCTCGAGAAGCCTTTGAGCTTTCGCAATGAAATTTTACATAAAAACTCCCTGTGACCTAAGGAAGACACCTATTGATTTTGAGGTCACAAGGTAAAAGGTCAAGGATGTAAATTCATATATTCTGTCTGTGTATAACACTTTCGTTTCCGGGCGATATCTCAAGAAGCTTTCGAGCTTTTGCATTGAAACTTTATACCATAACTCCCTCTGGCCTCTCTCGTCCCTCTCAAAGTGTCCCGCCCCGTTTTTTTTATTGAATAAAAGTTGCGTGGCACTTTTTTTAGCACAGGAGCATGTGGAAAGTTATAACATATAATACAGGTTGTCGGCGGACTTCATATTCTAATTACATCTATTAGAACTGTTTAATAAAGGCTAATTTGGACACCATGTGTTGTGTAAAACTTTGACACCATTGAACGTGAATTAAACATGTATAAGTGACCTAATGCTTGCGTTTAATTTGATTTATAAACAAGCACCTCGTTGGTCTAGGGGTATGATTTTTGCTTAGCATATGAAAGGCACCGGGTTCAAATCCCGAACAGTTCAGTATTTTTTTTAATTTTTTTTTAAAAAATTTTCCCCGTTTTACTAAATGATAGTATTCAATATATGAAATGAAGAAACTATGACGTGTGGCGTGTACAAACTTCTCAAAAAATCTATATATCCATTTTGGCATTTTTTATTTGCTTCAGTATACATGCATACATTTAATTTAATAATTCTGAAAATCCGGGGGGGGGGGGGGGGGAACCCCCCTTTTTTAGATCTGCTATGCAAGCTCTTCTTTTTTCCTTAAGCGGGGGACACAAATTCGCTGAATTAGCTTGTTTTATTGATAACGTGGATAATGTACCCCTATATACAATGTACACCTCAAACGATTAATCTTCAGTCTGAAGCAGTTATTGACAAATAAGTTGAAGTATCAAGGGTATCAACAACCTCTTTTCATGTCAATATTCTGCAAATTATATGGTCAATACAATAAATGATCTTGTTTGCGAAAATAGCTTGTTTTTAAGTCGAATGTTGATAGACGTTTTAATACAAATTATAAAGGCATTATTTTTTCCCCCTGAATTGTGTATGAAATATGACAATAACGAACACTATTCAAGCTCAGAGTCCATTAAAACAATACAAATCAGGATCAGCAAAGATGGACTTCCAAAAATCTCAGAGGTGTGATCAGGTGCCATGGAGGAGTGAGCATCCCCTGCCGACCGGTCACACCCGCCGTGTGCTCCTCGTCATGATCAGGAAATAACGGGAATATCCGTCGACAATTCAGTGTGTAAATAATGGCCTAACAATTAGTATGAAAAACATCAGTCATCATATGACTTAATGGCAGATTGTATTTGCTGACAAGATTATCTATCGACCATAGAATTCACGAAATAATGATTTTAAACGAGACTGTTGATATTCTTGTTTAATCAACTTGTTTGTCAATAACTTACCTCGTTTTAGAAAATGTTCATACATAGAGCATGCTCTTGCGTATCGAATCAGCTGAGGGATATACACCCCATATGCAGGTGGTAAAGGTATTTTGCTGCATAAGTGAGGGAAGTTGACGATTGAAAAGTTAAAGTCATCACTTTTATCATAAAGCTTTGTTGTTAGATTACCATTAACGTCTTTTTCTACTAAAATATCCAAATATGAAACAAATGTGTCAGACTCTGTGGTATCTTTTATTATGGACTTTTCAATTAAAAAGGGTTTATGGCAGGTGTGACCCGTCGACAAGGGATGCTTATTTTATTGCACATGTTCCTACCTCTGAAGTTTCCAGAGGTCCGTTTTTGCTGCTCTAATTTTGTGATGTTTAATTGGATTTATGAGTTCATTTACAGTTTGTTATCTTCACATTTCATTTACTTGAAAAAATATCGTTCTTCATTACAATATTCTATGAATAAAATTGTTCTCAACTAAATGAAGTATGTGGCTTTTCCTGATTGGATACTAGATTTTCGACCAATAGGAATCCATATATTCATTATAAAAGAAGGAAAACACTCACGTTGTTTTGAGTTCCAGAGCTCAGAACAAAAAGTCCTGCAAGATGTTTTGGCGACTCTTTCTGGTATGTTATATACGTATAGAGAGAGAGAGAGAGAGTCTTTTACATTGATATCAGGCTAATAACTATGAATAAACTTTAAATATTTTAGCTTTGTGCGACTGTTACCATCGTGCTTGCTGGAAAAGAAAATAAGAAAAAAGGTAAGTGATGTATTTGAGTTCCAAAATCTGTAAGTAAAAGAAAAAATTCAAATCGTTTATTCCGCTTCAACAACGATAGATTGTCTAGATTTAGTACTCGTTAGAAAAGCAGAAGTTCCACTTTTTTTAAGTATATATATCAAGATTATATCATGGTATCAACATACAAGGTGAAAATAAAAAAAATATCTTGTTTTGCAAGACATGCCATATATTCATCATTTTTACCCATTATTGTTTTGATTTGAACAGGGGAAAATGGGGACTGTTATCAGTCTGATACCTACTGCAAGAGAGGAAGAATTTGTCCCCCAGGGAAGTCCTGCTCTCTCCCAAAGACACGAGAAAAATGTATTGCACTAGGTAAGACTTCTTTAAAAGATCTCTAGGTTTTAAAGAAGTTGGGGACCGGATAAAATGGAAAATTCTAGTAACTAAATATATATATATATATATATATATATATATATATATATATATATATATATATATATATATATATATATATATATATATATATATATATATATATATATATAGTCCTGTTATTTTTTCCATTACTAAAACATGAGTATCAGAGCACATTGCCTATTTTAGTTTAATGAGAGAACGCGAGCACTAGTAAATTCCAGGATTTGGACCTCTTTTTGAGGTTACCATCCCCTTTTTTTGAAACCATTGCTACGAACCTGCCCCTGGTTCATTTCACAGCATTTCTGCTTATCACATTCACTTGCGTATATGGATTTTAGTTTAAGAATTATAAAGTACATACATGTACATAATATCGGTTTAATATCAACTACGAAAAAATTTTTAAAATCGTCTAAATCATTACTTATTAATTTTAGTTTTAAAGAGAATACTTTGCAGAGATGCAATTGCAATGGAAAACTTGTGCCTCTGGATAATTCCCTTCTCTCCAATTATTTTTTTTCCTTTCAATTTCTGCCATATATAACAACATATACATGCAATCACAAATAGAATTGTTCTAAATGCATAGGTATTCCTGCAAAAAGTCTATTTTTCATCAGAATCGAAGGATTGTAAGCAATTCTTAAAACAGACCACTAAAATTATATTGTAATATTTTATCTCACCAGGCTCAAGTAGACGTGAAATGTGTTATCGTCCCGTATCATATTGCCACAACGGTTACATCTGCACACGATGGAAAAAGTACACCCAATGTAGACCACCGTATACCGGTCAAAATTGCAAAGAAATAGGTAAGTATATAGTAAATTATGTCATATCACAAACTGTTCATCTTCACGATGTCAAGGTTTTCCAATCACAAAATCCTTGAAAAAAAAGTCGCTATTTAAAAGTTAGGCTTTTGATTACCCATGACATAATGGTTCATTATAAATCAACCAATGAGAATATATCTTTCAAACCCGTCGTTTTCAATGAACTCAAAGCCACAGCACATCTTTTGTGATTGTAAGGAGGAGGATCTTCTAAGGAATCTACTTCTTAGTTGAGCGGTGTGTTTGCCAAGTAAATATAATAATGACTATTCTAGAAGACATCAGTTCCTCTGATTAGCCATTATATTAAAACAATATATTTCGGCGGGAGTGATCGATCGACAGGGGAATGCTTACTCCTCTGTGGCACCTGATCTCACCTCTGAGCTCGTGTTTCCAGGGGGTCTGTTTATACTGTACTCAGTTTGTATTGTTTGATTGGACTTTCAAGCATGATAACTAATCATTATGTTCACTTTTCAATTGATCATATTAACATTGAGATATTTTACTTACTAATTGTTCTTTTTTATGTGAAAGTCAACTTGTGTCAGTCGGAGCCTTGTCTGAACGGAGGGACGTGTACAAGTAAAGATGTCTCATACACGTGCACGTGTGCAGGGGGTTGGCAGGGACAAAACTGCACAGGTTTGCATATATCATATTAAATTTTTTTTATTTTGAAACTCAAATATTTTCTTACTTCTAATTATCTTTATCATATATATGTACTTGCGGCAAGGGATAGAATGAAGATCGATTGCAGAGATTTTTACAAATATTATAGACCTTTTTAAGCAGATTTAATAAAATTTCATGTAGGCCATGTTTAAGTATGTCCTATTTGAAAAAATAATTCGTTCGTCTTTTTTTTCACCAGTACTGGTATTTCCTTTGTTATCTTTCTTCAAATTTTATTATTTGTTTATTGACAACCTTACAAACAGCGATCAAAAGCCTTAATAAAGCTTTTGTAAACCCGTTCCATTTGTAAATCCGTTCCATTTCTTCCCGACAAAGTAAGCACCTTCAGATACATCTGCAGAAAAAAAAGAAAGAAAATATCTAACCATTATCTTGTAAAAATGTCATATATGAATTAAATCTAGCATAATCTTTATAACACCGCGTCTTCTTGTTATAGTTAGAGATGCATGCTATTTTATGCCCTGTCAAAACGGAGGGACATGCACAAACACCGAGAACTTTTACACGTGCACCTGCAACAAAGGGTGGTCTGGACAGAACTGCACGGGTAAGACTAACTAGAATCTATTCAACCTGCATTCCTGCCCATGTAGACACATGCTATATTCGAAACGTGGTCATTCCTACCTATGTAGACATATGCCCTATAAATAATATCTGGCCATTCCTATACCTACGTTGAGAAATGATGTACAAGTAAATTCTAGATGCTTCGGTGGGTTTTTAACTTTTTAATTTTTGTGAATTTTAAAATTAAAGTCAAGCATTAATTTTTTATCATTTTAATCCTTTTTGTAGATTTTACGGGAACTTTCGAATACGAGTACAATATGCTGATCGTGTGGAATCAGGCTTCTAGAAATATTGAATCTAAATCGATCTACCTGACAACAAATACCTCTACAACAGTAGAAATCTCCACTTCAGAAAATCTTAATGCGTCACTGAAGAATGATATCGACCAAACCATTTTTTTCACCTCGGAACTCAAAGTTGCCCTCCCTGCAGAAATGCAAGGTGTCATTCTTCAGAAAGAATCAAAAGCAGTGAAAATTCGTTCCACAGATCCAGTTACTGTCCTTCTGTTGGGTAACGACCCATCCGAACCTGATGACGGCTCTCTTATTTTCCAAGTAAAAGACAGACCAACAGAATTAATGTCATATTTCTACATAATACCATCTACTGTCCCACGAATTGTATCTAACACTGCGTACTCAACCGTATTTGGTGTCGTTGCGTTGAAGGACAGTACAACACTTCATATACAATTTCAAATGCTAGACAAAGGAACACCTATCACTATCAATGGTCAAGAGTACGGCCACCTCGACGTGTTTTCAACCTCTTTGAATAGTATGGAAACATTACAGATTGGACACAACACGGACCTGACAGGAACTGTGATTCTATCCTATCTAAAGCCAGTTGCAGTATTTACAGGAAGTGGGCGTAACTTTTCTCCTGACTCACCTGGCAGTCACGTGATGGGGCAGCTTCATCCAATCATTGATTGGGGTTCTATCTTTATTGTACCGCCTGACTTCAGGAGTAATGGAACATTCATACGAATTATAGCTATTTTGGGTAATGACCGGGCCGTGAATATTTCGAACGGGGCTTCCACGGACAATGTCGTAATAGGTAAATATACACCATATGAAATGAATACATTGGCTGATGAGACAACGGTCATCATTTCTGATCCCGATTATCCTCTCCAGGTTATCAACTATGTCAGGCAAGATTCAAGCCCCGACTCAGGTACTCCATACATGGTTAATATTCCCGGAGTTCAACATTACAAAAGCCAATACCAAGTCCCAATCCCTGATGGATACCTGAACAGCTATATCACAGTCATGATAAGAAATAACACCACAGAAGATCTTCGACTGAACGACCAAGCTATCTCGCCAGACATGGTTCGTTTTGAAAGCAAGGTTTTGGTTAAAAGTATCGAATACTCCATTTTAACTGTCGAGGTTTCCCCTGGCATATTGAATATAGAATCAAAAACTGATTCTCCATTCGGGTTGCTAGTCCGGGGCTATGGAAATTCTGATGTCTATGGATTTACAGGAAATGTCGTTGACCCATAAGGCCAATGTTAACAATAAAGAAACTTAATAATGTAAATGAACATCTGTTGAGCAAGAATGATGTTTTTCCTTCTGCACATAAATACATGAAATAAAGAAATATTAGAAGCACATTTTGGTTCTTTTCATCAAATTACTGATCATGATTCAATGCAGGATTTCGAGTTTGTAGACTTTACATAGTTATGCTTCTGTCACATTTCAAAATAATGACCAACGACCGACGGGTTTTGATACAAAAATGGTATCTTTCAGGCGACAGTCGACGTTTCATCGACTGTTGTATTTCTCGACCATCGGCAGAAAGTTAGTCGGTCGACATTCAGGTAACTGGTTTTTCAAATCTTTAGGTACTAATATGACTCAGGTTTTACATGTACATGTACTTCTGTTTTGAAACCTCGAGGTAAAGCAATTTTTCATTTTTTTTTTTTTTTTTTTTTTTTTTTTTTTTTTTTTTTTTTTTTTTTTTGAGTTACTAACACACTCCGACCTCATTTCTTTTAAAAAGAGAATAATTACCGGTAATATATACCTATGACATGATTTTTTTAAAAATCGAAACCAAAAGAAATACATTTCACTGTTGTGGGTAAAAGAAAAAAATGTGTTCACTTTAAACTGTTCACTTTCGAGCACGTTTCACTATCATGGCATAGTTTTGAAGCAGGTTGATGACTGTGTTTTGTATGATTATGGGAACTTGTAAAAGGTACTTAGGTGATTCATCTTATAAAAAGAAAGAAAGGAAAAATGATTGTTTTCCTAAATAGAAGATGCAACCAATGATAAACAGTATTGAAAAGCACAGCACATTCATACTTTTTATGAATCTGCTATTCTTGTAAACAAATTTTAAAAAGATTTCTTCCTACATATTTCCAGAACAACAGAAACAAAATAACTTAGGTGAGCATTGTGGCCCATGAGGCTGAAATTGACAAAGATAGTACCTTGTTCTTTTATTTCAATCAAAATTGAGTCGGTACAAAATTTTTCTAATGACCAACACAAGTGCATGCCGAGATGAAAAAGACTGATGATTTTTCAAGGTACCCTTACCAAACTGTTATGTTTGCTGCAGACCTGCAGCAAGTCTGCTGCAAGTTTGCAGCAAACAAAATTGTTCGCAGGAAGAAAATTTTCTTGTTCGCAGATGATTGCCGCTAGCTGCGATCTTGCGGCAAACATTGCAGCAATTGCTGCAAGCTTGCAGCAAATTCGCAGGAACTCAACATGTTTGCAGGAACATTGCAAGAAACATAAACGCCAATCTGTTGTTCACAGCAAGTTTGCAGGAAACATTCAACAAATTGAATGTTTGCAGGAAGTTCGCAAGAAAAGTAAACAAGACAAATCAGCCAATGAAATGCAGACTGTACTGAGGTCAATAACAGAATTCGCCATTTTGAAATGTTTGAATTGAAGTTGTAGAAGTTTCAGTATTTTGTTAGGAATATATACCATTTTGAATGATTACAAAAGCATAATTCTGGATGTAGGAGTACATTGGCATACAAACATCTAATTGGTAAGATCTGATTTTGTTTTATTTTAATATGAAACAATTATCTCTTGAAAAACTGGTGTACTTGCTAAATCTAAATCTATTTATGACTTTCAATCTTTATTTTAATATCACATTTGTATGTTTCTTTAATGTATTAAAGGTTCAAAAGCAATTTTTAGAAATGTTTATACGTTTTTAAATAAATTGGTATTAACTGTAAAATTTTAATTTGTATGTACATAGAGTTATGTGCAAGGGTTCTTAATTTTTTCTGTACATGTCTATTACATCTGTACATGTATATTACATTTGAATTAAGAATAGTATGGGAACCTTGTCTAGGAACAAAAAGAAAGACTGTCAACAATTCAGAAACTTGCATCATTTCAGACACATGTGGTGGATTTTCTCTATAATTAACAGATTAAGGTCAGAACAAAGGCTTTCTGCAAACTTGTTGCTTGTATGCAGGAATGTGCTGAAAACAATAAATTTATTGTTTGCTGCAAGTTAGCAGCAATGTTTGCTGCAAGCTTGCAGCAATGTTTGCCGCAAGCTTGCAGCAATGTTTGCTGCAAGCTTGCAGCAAGGACTCCATATTTGGAAAACCCAATATTTGCTGCAGACTTGCAGCAAACCTCATTTGCATGGTAAAATGTTTGCAGCAAGCTTGCTGCATACCTGCCGCAAACTTGCTGCAAACACAGAAGCTTTGTATAGGCTGTCATGGTTTCTTTAGCTTCATTGCCGCAAGCTTGCAGCAATGTCTGCAGCAGGTTTGCAGCAATGTTTGCTGCAGACTTGCAGCAAATGTTTGCAGGAAGGCAGTATTTTTGGTAAGGGTACATATAGTTCCTATGCGACCCATATATCCCCTAACGAACCATACTCTTTTCAACAAGAGGTCCATGGGCCACAACGCTCACTCAAGTATTTAATCTATTTATGGCCCTTCTGGTTTTTCATCAGCATACTTTTTCCTGTATGTAAAACTTTGATCACTCATTGTAGCCCCATCCTGCCCCTGGGGGTCTTGATTTGAACAAATTTGAAACTACACTACCTGAGGATGCTTCCATATAAAAATGACTATTCATGGCTTTCCTGTTCTTGAGAAGAATTTTAAATATTTATTTCTATTTTTTCCCATATAAAATTGATCGCCCAATACCCCCCCCCCCCCTCCCCAAGGATTTGAACAAACTTGAATATATACACAAACTGTGGATGCTTCCATATGATTATGGCTGATCATGGCTTTGCTTTTCACACATATTTTCCTATGTAAAACTTTGATCATTGTAGGCCCACCCTACACCTGGGATCATGATTTGAACAAACTTGAAAATATACACTACCTGTGGATGGTTCTATATAAACATGAATAATTATGACTTTGATGTTTCTTGGAAAAAGAATTTTAACGATTTTTTCTCTGTATTCCTATATAAAGCTTTGACTGCCCATAGTCCCCCCCCCCCCCCCCCCCCCAACCCATCATGATTTAAACAAACTTGAATCTACATTAAACATGGCTTTGCTGTTTTTGAAAAAAATTCCAGATTTTTCTTACGTGCTCTCTCCTAAAACTTTGATCGTCCATTGTGGCCCCACCCTACCCACTGGGTCATGATTTGAACAAACTTGAATATAAAATTTTATATTAGTTTTGTTTTTGTAACCTACCATGAAATTGATCTGAAAGCCATTTTCTTTTATACTCACGCGTAGAAATATAACGGAGAAACTCGCGCTAAATTGACTTCACAATCATGAATGAGGCTACAGATGCAAAATATGGCAGCGAGAAATTCAAACATTGAGTATATTTTTGGTGCGTTTAAACATGTAAAATGCAAATATAAGGAATGTTTTTCAAGTTTCGTATGAAAATTATTGGTGTGTATATCACACAGACTTGCATGTAGGCATATTTTTCATGAAGCACTAACACATTTTATGAAATATGTCTACATGAAAACTCTGTGTGATTCACACACCAATTAACTCACACAAAACTTAAAGACACTCCTGAATAAACAGTTCCTATGGATGCTTCCATATGATTGATCATGGCTTTGCTATTCTTGAGAAGATTTTTAAACATCTTTCTATGTATCCTATGTAAAACATTGATCACCCTTACCCCTGGGTTCATGATTTTCACAAACTTGAATCTTAACTACATGTATGTCAGTAAACATTCACATAAATTTCATGTTTTCTGGCCCAGTGGTTCTTGAGAAGAAAATTTTTACATGACCCATCCAATTTTTACTTATTTTAGTATCTCCCCTTGGAAGAGGGTATGGCCCTTCAATTAAACAAACTTGAACCCCCTTCATCCAGGGATACTCTGTGTAAAGTTAAGTTGAAATTGGCCCTGTGGTTCTGGAGAAGAAAATGATGTAAAAAGTTTATGACACCAATGACAACAACCCTAACAGACAACGGACAAATTTTGATCAGGAACGCTAACTCAAGCCTTCTGCTCAGGTGAGCTAAATATTGGTTCTCCACAGATTACGTAATGAAAAGAAAAAAAACAAGACACGTATAGCAATATTCATTATTTCAGTACCTTATCTATTCAAATACCCCATGAATGCAATCTCATATTATATTAAACATTTCTATTATTTCATATGAAAGACGTACAAAGCCTGTTAAAAAGATATCTACTCCATCATGTTTTTCTTGGGTGTTTAACTTAAACAGATTTAAAGTATCTGTTTCACAGTAAAATGTTATCATTAAAGCTTTACATGTTGATTAAAAGAAAGTTACAGGCTGGCAAGCAAAGATGGATCAAACATTAAATGTCACTTGATCTTTAAACTTGTATGGCATAAACATTAATTAAAAACTAAAAAAATATTGTCCTATTAATACATATATATGTCTAAATTGTAGGAAAAAATTACATGCCATTTTCAATGAACATGTCAGTAACTGAAACATCCTCTAAAAAAATAAAACATTACACTGTAAGAAACAATGTCAAAAGTGCTATTCAAAATTGATATCACAGAGATTATGCATAATTAAATTTAAAGATTTTAAAAATAAACATCCCTGAAAACAAATTATTGATAATTCATTTCATAATCTCTCTCTCTCTCTCTCCCCACTAACACACAATAAAAATTACACATAATTATCATAAATAACTTGATTATGCAACAGTGTCACAGTGAAGTGATTAATTTCAGAACAGTCCAACACCCTTGCTGAATGTGCCTTGCAATCTTGCTTCCCATGAACTGCAGTGCATACATATACAATCAGGAGCATGAAACATCCCTTAAGCTTTTCCTTGCTGAAATATGTGTCATTTAATATATTACATGTATATATTTTTTCTTCAATGTTCCATAGCAAGACAAAGTTATCAGCAACTTATAGGATGAAAACCTCATCCTTGGTGTTGGTGTTCATGCATTTCTTGTGTCTATGGTAACAGCTGCCTTCAGTGCTACTATAGCAATCCTTAGTATCTCCATGACATCATATATGGTCTGGCACAGTCTCTAGGGCCTCTGTGTTGCTTCTGTGTGCTTCAACATTCTACAGTTTAAAAAAGTAGTTTTAAGTTAGGAAAATTATATTCTTAGGCACATGAATCAGCCATCAAAAAGATGTAATAGACAGATCTTATACTGATGTAAAAGACAGATCTTATACTGATGTAATAGACAGATCTTAGACTGATGTAAAAGACAGATCTTAGACTGATGTAATAGACAGATCTTAATACTGATGTAATAGACAGATCTTAATACTGATGTAAAAGACAGATCTTAGACTGATGTTATAGACAGATCTTAGACTGAAATCCAGCTCCTTCCTCCTCTTTCAAACTTGATATTTTTAACACTCTTGCTGAAGATAGTGAGGCTTTTGTACATATTTATCCAGTGAGAGAGGAACATGAACATTTACAATACGTACAAAATACATTATACCTTTGGTTTTTCTCGGTGCGTGTTCACAGCCTCTATGTTCAGGCTGACAAACTCGACCCTACAGCCATATGCTACTGGTGTGAGTTTGATGACTGTGTGCAGTGGAACTTTCAGATATGCTAGGTCCCCTAGAACAACAAAGTATGCAAGTATAGACCTAAAATTCTGAACATAAAAAGAATTTATATGTCATTTACAAGTGGTGAACTTCTTTAAATTAACATTTCTACATGAGATAAACATACAACATAAAGGTAGTTCAACTTTCAAATTAAAAAAAAATCAAACTACAGTAAAACTCGTTTAGCAAATTTATGGATATAGCGAAGTTTTTTGCAATCCCCGGCAAAATTCTTAACAATTCCCTGTAAAATTTAACGGATATAAGAACTTGGATATAGTGAATTTACAGTTATAGCGAACTGATTTTTTATCCCCTAGATGTTAAAAATTAAGCAATTTACATCTTTTATAGCGAATTTTCATAGGTTTTAGAATTTAAAATATTGAACTGACATAATTTTGTAAGTTTTTATTTTTGAAACTCAATTTAACCAAAAAACTTCAGAACTCCAAGGTAATTTTTAAATATTTTATACTTCACTAAATTACATATGGTAGTCGAATTCGCTACATATTCTTTAAGGAAATCGTTATACGGATATAACGAATTACGGATACAGCAAAGTAAATTTGAAGGTCCCTAGAAATTCGCTATAACCGAGTTTTACTGTACTTTAAATGCATATCTGCAAGTTAAACATCAAAGAAAGAAAAGTTCATAAATGTGCAGTTAATTGTCCTTGAAGTGGGTCCACTCTTGTCAGATCAAATTATTTCACATTTACAGGATTACTCAGAAATCTAAGGATGAGGAAGATTATTTCTTCAAAATATTTTTTTTTTGCTTTATCCTTCAAGATGAACCTGACTTGAGGATTTCATCATCTTGACTGAGGACACACTGCTTTTCACAAGCAAACAATCTGCATGTCTGCTAGATGTTCAGGGGTAAAGACAATTTCTAAATATCAAATGCATTTTTAGTACATGAACATTTTAGCCCAACCTGGGGTTGGAAGCCAAGACCTATGCATTAGCAATTTTAAAACTTAAGTGAAGGGCTATTTATTCATTAGAATAAAAAAGTAGATATGATGAATTCTTGGACTTTGATTAAAACAGTATCTTATTATAACAATTTCATCATAATGAATAGGCTTCAGGCACTGTCTATTTGACAGCCCTTTTCAAAATGCATTTTTCAAAATGTGATCAACTTAGCAATATCCTAGGACAACTTTTCTATCTGAAGACATTGATTGTTAACCTTTAATTTTTAGTGTACTCATAGTTTATAATAATCATGAAACTATTTGTCCCAAATCATCAATATTTTCAAAACTTATATACAGTTAAATTTGTCTAATCTGGACACCAATAGTGCAGATATATGACCAACTTAGCCCTTCTCAGAGACCTAGCTGAATCTTCGATGAAAGGGTCAACAACTTTACAGTTTTCGTTTGGTGTTAGAAAACTAATTAAAATTACACAAACAATTTGCCAACAAGATGTCCAGAAGTGAAGAGAAGACTTGAATCAATGATTACTGCACAAAACGCATCAAAATATGACCAACCCACTTGAGGGCTTTTTTTCTGAAATACTCTTGAGATTCAAGAATTTTACAACTTTTATAGATAGAGAAACCAAATACTAGTAAAAGGATTTTGCCTGCAAAATTTTTGGATGTTAATGAATTCATACTTTCAAAGATGCACTAAATTATACATTATCGAATGAAATATACAACCAACCTGAACAAACTTTAAAACCTGAATCCTACCTGGATATAGTAATGCATAATTTAAGAATTTAACAATTTCGAATTTTTGAAATTAATTTTATTAGGTCTGACTGGCTTGATTCCTCAGGCTTGTGGAGTACAATGAGTATCACCAGATTTAAATTTTTGTTCCCCTTCATCCCAGTGATTTTTTCAACATTTTTTAAGAAGGTGCCTGTGCAAATTCTTTAATTTTGGCAAGGGGAAAGGGCCAATATTTGGACCTAAATTGGCTGTAGAAATCATTACACCCATGCATGCTATATATCAAAATTGGTTGAAATGGCTTGAAGAACCTGAAAATTATGTTGAAATATTACAAATACATGTAACACAGTCACTCTGACAGACAAGTACAAATATCAATGGTCAAATTGACCAAACAAATTGATGACCTGATTGAGATATCAAACTGGACCTGTGAATTTTCAGTGTCAAATTAAAACCTAAGCAAACATTTTACTGGGATGACTCGCAGTGTAATGAACATCAGATGATACAAATCAGCTACTCCTTCTTAGGGCTTTAAGAAGTGGTAAAGACTTTGGAACATCTGGGACCTGTTTTACAAAAGAACTTATCACTATGACCAAAATTTAATTCTGCTATAAATAACTTTCTAAATTAAATTTACATTAAATAGAAAATGGTTTTAATCTTTTTAAAAGGTATGTAGAAAGATACTTTTATGGAAGCAATTTCAAACAGAATCATTACCCGGTAATTTTGCAAAATTTTACAATCAACTAATAAAAGTTTTTGGTCTTAGTCTTAAGTTCTTTTGTAAAACAGGCTCCTGATTTTAATTACATTGGCTCAGACTACTCCCTGCAGAAATTGGACTCAACCCTCAAAATCATGGATATCTGTTGTTGGAGTTAATAAAACAATTCAACCAATAAAAAAATTTGGAAGGTGGGGCATTTCCTACAGTGAGCTCAGGAATGATGTAACTATTTTAGAACAAGTTAGATTCTTGAGTGGTTGACAAGGTTGCTTTTTGATATTAGAAAGGATTCATAATTATTTTATCTAATACTGAAAGACTTTGATTAATAAATTTATTTATTAAACTGTATATAAGGAATGAGTTTCCTCAAAAATTACTATTCGACCTCTAATGGCAATAAATTTTCTATTTTCCTCATATCCATTCTTTAACTATTTGTACAGATATGTGCTAATTAATCCTACCCCTTGCATCTAATTGATCCTTAAGATTTTTATGATAGATGCAAAGATACTTCATATATTTCTCCTAAGACCATTATAATCCAAATCATATTGGGTCAATGATACGTCCTCTATGTAAAAAACAAACTTTGCTTTTAAAAATATCAAAGTTAAATATATATGATAGACACAGAAATTCCAAAAACAAAATGATTCCTAAATTAAATTAATTTTTAATGTATGGTGTTAAAGAAGTATTCAACCATTACATTTGCAAGTGGAATTAATACATGTACATACAATGACTATAACAGCAAGCAGAGTTATTTAGTGAAACAAGTGAAGACAATGACAAATCTAGACTACTGACAGCCCTATCAATGACTACCTGGGTTTTAACAGGTGTATGTTTTCACACTCACAACCTCTTCCTGACATTTTCATTTTGACCACTGCCTCGTTGGGGACCGGCACATGTGGAATTTCATCTAGAAATTAGAAATTTAATGTCCCCAATTTTCTTTGCAGTTTTAATCAGTCACAGAGAAAATTTTAATTCGTCACTTTATTCTTTCTAGCTATCATGTCTACTGCTGAGAATTTTCAAATGACTTATTCAAAAACACACACAATTTGGAGAATACATGTACTACATTCTTAAGTAGCATATATATAGTGGTTCCTGTAAATACATCATATTTATACACATATAAAAAATATTTAATACATATTTGAATATTTCATTGCTTTATTTATATTATTTAATTACCGGTATATATACCACTCTATCTGATTGAAACATTTATTTTCAAACCAACAACATGTATATACACACAAAACTAAATAATATTTGTATGAGAAATCTATAAATTATGCACTCTTTCGGTGGAACCAACCCCTTATCTTCTTACCAAGGTCAGTGTAATTTCACAGATCATTATACATGTATCTGCGATACATTACAAACTGAGTAAGTTTTCATTTCTATGACTGATAAAAATTTAATATGAAGTCTTGTAGGAATAAATCAAATACTCATATACATTATTTGTACAGCAATATAAGAACTTGAAAATTACTTGACTGTATGAAAAAAAAATTCAAGCAATCCATCTCAATGAATTTGATATTAATATTAAAGCACAGTTAGTCAGGAAATAAGAAGCAATTTTAACCGATAGACTGATCCTACATAACAAAAAATTGAAATAGCTTAGTACACATGAGATAATACAGAAAACATGCATTAAATTAATACACTAAATCTCAGGGCGACTTTTTTACTTTACAACTGGAACCTCTTGTTGAAGTGTGGGTAGTTTATTTACTTGCTTATAAACTGAACCTCTTGTTGAAGTGATGGTAATTCTACTTTATTAATAGAACCTCTTGTTGAAATGTGGTTAATTCTCTATTTTATAAATAGAACCTCTTGTTGAAATGTGGGTAATTCTCTATTTTATAAATAGAACCTCTTGTTGAAGTGTGGGTAATTCTCTATTTTATAAATAGAACCTCTTGTTGAAATGTGGGTAATTCTCTATTTTATAAATAGAACCTCTTGTTGAAGTGTGGGTAATTCTCTATTTTATAAATAGTACCTCTTGTTGAAATGTGGTTAATTCTCTATTTTATAAATAGAACCTCTTGTTGAAATGTGGGTAATTCTCTATTTTATAAATAGAACCTCTTGTTGAAGTGTGGGTAATTCTCTATTTTATAAATAGAACCTCTTGTTGAAGTGTGGGTAATTTTCTATTTTATAAATAGAACCTCTTGTTGAAATGTGGTTAATTCTCTATTTTATAAATAGAACCTCTTGTTGAAATGTGGGTAATTCTCTATTTTATAAATAGAACCTCTTGTAGAAGTGTGGGTAATTCTCTAGTTTATAAATTAAATCTCTTGTTGAAGTGTGTGTAATTCTCTAATCTATTAATTGAACCTCTTGTTAAAGTGTGTGTGGGGGGGGGGGGGGGGGGGGGGATTCTCTACTATATAAACTACTATATAAACTGAACCTCTTGTTGAAGTGTGAAACATACACTGCTAACCCATTACACTTTTACAATACTTGATTCTGTTGTAAGTACTTCAGTCTCTTGA